GGAGAGGTAAAGGCAGTGGGAAGCCGAGACCGGGAGCCAGGGAGCTGTGGCACACACCCGCAATCCTTGCTTAGACAGGCAAGTCTGAGGCCAGCCTGGGCTCCATAGCGAGTTCAAGAGCAGTCTGAAATACACAGTGGGACTCTGTCTCAAAAACCCAGGAGAGGAAAAAGGGGGTGATCCTGGGGAATGGGGAGGTGCGAAGAGCTGGTAGGACCAGCTTTATGGGTTTTAATAGACAATGGGCAGCCAATAACAACCTCAGAGAGAGCCCTTCATAGCCACAAGGAGTAGGCTGGGGCAGCTGACATCAAAGGGAGATCTTAGCAAGTTGCACACTGAGGAAAACCTGAAGTAAGGCAATGTGAGGGACAGCAAAGTAAAAGGATACCAAAAGAGGCTTGTGTCCTAAACTAAGAAACATACCTGCCAATAAGAAACAGTGAACTGAAAAAAGGTACAGCTATTCCCAATAGTTTAGATTAATCTCACTATGTCAAGTGAGACAATCCAGTCCCAGGAGGCTTTACAGAGGAAAATATAAAGCTCATGAAGCTTAAAAACAATCTAAGCACTTTAGCCATAGTAGGTCAATACCTACGGGTTTATATGCATACACGTATCTGAGCTGGAAGAAGGAAACGATGAATGCAAAGCCAACAAGGGTACCTATTTCTTGGGGACCCGGAAGAGTCGAGATACACCCATACACCGTAGACGCATCACCTGGAAAGGCGTTAATGAACTCGTGGTGCCAACACATCACGCCCACGGCTCGCACTTAATCTACACTAGATTAAAGTCCTAACAAGAGAAAGATGAGGCAGGAGATTATGTGTTTTTGAGGTATTCTACAGAGAACTCACGGCCTTCCAGACCCATTTCATCCTCACGAGGGCTCAGGTCACCCCCACAAGCCAGCCGCCCCAGGTATTCTCTCTCCTTCCCTCCTTCCCTCCCAAGCTACTACAGAGACAGACCTCAAATCCCGCGCGCCAGTAGTTAGAAAAGTGCGGAAATGGCGGATGGAGGGGGGCGGGGCCGGAGGGGCGGGGCCAGCGGGGCGGGGCTAGAGCGCGGTCCGGCGCGAGGTCGCTACTGCGCAAGCGCAGCAGGACGCCTGGCCGTCATGGCGCCAGCGCCGTCCAGTCAGCCGCGGGAGGTGGCGGCGACTTCCCCTCAGGAAGCTAGGTCTCCGCCTCCTCCTCCCACCCCGCCTGCTCGGCGGCGGAGGCGGCGGCAGCGGCAGCGGTTGTTCCTGCCTCTCCGCCACCTCCACCGCCGCCTGTCCTTCGGCCGGCGGCGTTGGCGGGGAGGGGGACAGTAGTTGTAGATCCCGCCCCTGCCTCAGCGAAGATACTATATTGAATGAAGGAAGACTGAATTTACAGGTGCTTCTTCTAAAAGGCATCTGTGGAGTAGTGCTCCAGTTTCAATAATAAAAGATTGTCCATTATGAG